AAAATGCCTAAGTTTAAAATGCCATCCTTTGGGATGAAAGGTCCACATATTGAAGGTCCAGAAGTTGATGTCAACCTTCCAAAAGCTGACATGGATATTAAAGGCCCTGAATTGGATATCAAAGGACCAGGCATTGATATTGAGAGTCCAAGTGGTAAGATCAAGGGACCAAAATTCAAGATGCCAACAATTTCAGGACCTAACATTTCGATGCCAGATGTGGATTTCAATCTGAAAAGTCCCAAAATCAAAGGTGATCTTGATGTGTCAGGTCCAAAGATTGAAGGAGACATAAAAACACCTGATTTTGACATCAAAGGTCCAGACGTTGATATTGAAGGCCCGAAAGGAGGATTTGAAATGCCTAAAATCAAAATGCCATCATTTGGTTTCAAAGGTCCAAAAGTGGAGGGTCCAGATGTTGATATAAACCTTCCCAAAGCAGACATTGATGTTAAAGCACCTGACGTTGACATTAATGTGCCTAATGTTGATATTGAAGGGCCAGACGCAAAACTCAAGGGGGCACAATTTAAGTTGCCATCAATCTCAGGACCAAAGTTCCCAGACTGGGATATCAACCTGAAAGGACCCAAGATAAAGGGAGATATGTCAGTTCCAAAGATAGAGGGAGACATAAAAACACCGGAAGTTAACATCAAAGGTCCCAATGTTGACTTTGACTCCCCAGAGGGAAACCTTCATGGGCCAAAGGTAAAGTTACCAAAAATATCTGGACCAAAAATATCATTGCCAGATGTTGATATAAATCTGAAGGGGCCAAAGTTGAAGGGTGACTTGACAGGAGATGTTCAATTGCCAAAAGCTGAACTTGAAGGACCAGATGCCACAATAGATGTCCCAGAAATTGGATCAAAGAAATCAAAGTTTAAAATGCCAAAGTTTGGATTTAAGGGTACAAAGCCAAAGGCACCAGAAGTGGATATTAGCATGAAAGGGAAGACTGGTAGCTCTGAAGGTCTTGATCTTGACCTGGGATTGACTGGTCCAAAAGTGAAAGGATCCAAATTCAAGATGCCAAAGTTTGGTTTCAAAGGTCCAAAAGTGGAGGGTCCAGATGTTGATGTAAATCTTCCCAAAGCTGGCATTGAAATAAAAGCTCCAGATGCTGACATTGAAGGACCTGATGTTAAAATTGAGAATCCTGATGGCAAAATGAAAGGAACAAAACTCAAAATGCCAACAATCTCAGGACCAAACATTTCCATGCCAGACGTTGATTTCAACCTGAAAAGTCCCAAAATCAAAGGTGATGTGTCAGTTCCAAAAATAGAAGGAGACATAAAAACACCTAATATTGACATCAAAGGTCCAGACGTTAATATTGAAGGTCCAAAAGGTGGATTTGACATGCCTAAAATCAAAATGCCATCCTTTGGCTTCAAAGGTCCTAAACTAGAAGGACCAGATGTTGATATAAACCTTCCCAAAGCAAACATTGATGTGAATCCACCTGATGTTGACATTAAAGGACCCGAAGTTGATATTGAAGGACCAGATGCAAAACTCAAAGGACTGAATGTAAAGATACCAACCATAAAAGGACCAAAGATGCCAGATTTTGATATCAAACTAAAAGGTCCTAAAGTCCATGGAGATGTCGATGTTTCACTTCCAAAGATGGAAGGAGATATAAAAGCTCCTGAGGTGGATATTGAAGGACCAGATGTCGACATTGAGGGCCACAAAGGAGGATTTAAAATGCCTAAGTTTAAAATGCCAACTTTTGGGATGAAAGGTCCACATATTGAAGGGCCAGAAGTTGATGTCAGCCTTCCTAAAGGTGACATTGATATTAAAGCCCCTGAATTGGATATCAAAGCACCAGGCATTGACATCGAGAGTCCAAGTGGTAAGATCAAGGGATCGAAATTCAAGATGCCAACAATCTCAGGACCTAATATTTCCATGCCAGATGTGGATTTCAATCTGAAAAGTCCCAAACTCAAAGGTGATGTGGATGTGTCAGGTCCAAAGATTGAAGGAGACATAAAAACACCTGATATCGACATCAAAGGTCCAGACGTTGATATTGAAGGCCCGAAAGGAGGATTTGAAATGCCTAAAATCAAAATGCCCTCCTTTGGCTTCAAAGGTCCAAAAGTGGAAGGGCCAGATGTTGATATAAACCTTCCCAAAGCAGACATTAATGTGAAATCACCTGATATTGATGTTAAAGGACCAGAGGTTGACATTGAAGGCCCTGATGCAAAACTCAAAGGACCCAAATTCAGCATGCCAACAATTTCTGGACCGAAATTGTCCATGCCAAATGTGGATTTCAATCTGAAAGGTCCCAAACTCAAAGGTGATGTGGATGTGTCAGTTCCAAAGATAGAGGGAGACATAAAAACACCTGAAGTTGACATCAAAGGTCCAGAGGTTGATATTGAAGGTCCAAAGGGTGGATTTGACATGCCTAAAATCAAAATGCCATCCTTTGGCTTCAAAGGTCCAAAAGTGGAAGGACCAGATGTTGATATAAACCTTCCAAAAACAAACATTGATGTGAAAGCACCTGATGTTGACATTAATGTGCCCAGTGTTGATATTGAAGGGCCGGACGCAAAACTCAAAGGAGCACAATTTAAGTTGCCATCAATCTCAGGACCTACACTGCCAGATTGGGATATGAGTCTAAAAGGGCCCAAAGTAAAGGGAGATGTGGATGTGTCAGTTCCAAAGATTGAAGGAGACATAAAAGCTCCTAAAGTGGATATTGAAGGACCGGATGTCGACATTGAGGGCCACAAAGGAGGATTTAAAATGCCTAAGTTTAAAATGCCGTCCTTTGGGATGAAAGGTCCAAATATTGAAGGGCCAGAAGTTGATGTCAACCTCCCTAAAGCCGACATTGATATTAAAGGCCCTGAGTTAGACATCAAAGGACCAGGCATTGACTTTGAGAGTCCGAGTGGTAAGATCA